CTGCAGGTAATACAATGTTACTTTTCTTCACTCTCCCCTCCCTTCCAGCTTTCTGGGTTTGTATCAGTTTTGCCTTGGAATCTGGTGGGGTGGAGGAGTTTTTGTTTGTTTTTTACTTTTCCTTTGTTTTGTTTTTGTTTTGAGGAAAATGAGAAACTAACTCTGAGTAGCTTAATCAAAGACAACTTATAGACATAATTCATAGCCCACAGAATCAATGAAGAAATGACTCATCAGATCTCAGGAAATAGAAGGATCCCATGTGATAAAATCACGTGACTTGAGGCAGTTTTTGAATAATTTTTCAAAGGAAAGTAAGATTGAGATGACTTCATTAATAAGATTTATTTTGGAAAAAAAAGAGATGTGCGTCATATGTAGGTGAATGGGGGTCATTTGATGGAAGAATGAAAGCTAGCGACAGGTCAATGAGACACCAGCGAGAATGGTGAACCTGGGAAAGCTCAGGCACTCCAGCTCGTCTAGAAAATGGGATGTGAGGGGCGAAGCAGCAAGAGCAGAGAACGAACAGGAGTGGGCGTTGCATGAAGGATCTCATTTATGGTTAAGGCTTTTGGATTTCATGCTTAAGATAATGAGAACCAATCTTCTGCATTTTGATGGAAATCTGTTCAGTATGTAATTTATGTAAATTAGCCAAATTAAGTATTTTATTTTATTATTTTTTAAATGTTTATTTATTTTAGAGAGAGAGAGTGTGTGAGCAGGGGAGGGTCAGAGAGAGAGGGAGACACAGAATCTGAAGCAGGCTCCAGGCTCTGAGCTGTCAGCACAGAGCCCGACGCGGGGCTCGAACCCATGAACCGTGAGATCATGACCTGAGCCAGAGTCGGATGCTTACCTGACCGAGTCACTCAGGTGCCCCTAGTATTTTATAGTATCAAATGGTGTCTTAAAGTAATAAATAAGCAGCCTGCAGGTTGCTTTTCTCAAAAAACCCACAATATAAACGTCACAAGCTTTACTGAAGCTGAGAAAAAATAAAAACAGAAACAACAACAAAAAAGCAAAACCTAGAAACTTCAAAGCAGAAAACTATGGGAAAGCCCTGTCTTTCTCTCATGTGTGACTTGCACGTTCTGCTCCCTTTCCTGCCAATGCCATTCTTCCTCTCCTCGGAGGGACTTCTGTTTACTCTTCAGCCTCAAACGTTGCCTTCCGTGAGAAATCTTTCCAGGGTTCTACAAGACTTAATTGCTTTTACTCTCTGTGCTCTCTTGTTATTGTATTTAGGCCTCCATTGTAAGACTGAAGGCTTTGCTGCCGCTATGCGTTCACATGTCTTTGCTCTCTTAGCTCTGCATTGGGGCTAGACATTTTGCTGGTAGTGGATGGTACGGGAATATTACACTAAAGCCTTTTCACATTACAGTAAAACCTTGAACTGTGAATAACTTATTCTGTGGGGAGCAAACATTTCTAATATATTTTAACTTGATAAATGATTGATGTCTTCTGATAGGGGTAGTATGTGAGATGTCATATGATCACAACTGAGCCAATCATCAATCGTCTCTCTCTCTCTCTCTCTCTCTCTCAATCTCCCCCCTTCCCCCCCCCCCCCACACACACACCGGGATTGGTCTCAGGCTTCGGTGACCACTGAGAAACTGATGGATCTGCATCAGGAGCTACAGCAGTAAGTTATGGAGGAGATCTCTTCTGTAGAGGAGGAGGTGATAAAGGCAAAGGAATCTCTCACTTCAAATGAGATTAGGGAGATGTGTAAAATATCGGAAGCAGTGAAAACTTTTGTAGAAAAGCACCACCCGAATAAGGCTGTAGTAGTGAGATCGATGAATCTGTTTAACGACAATGCAATGTCATGTTTCTGTGAAATCTGCAAAAGAAGGCAAAAGCAAGTGTCATTGGATAGCTTCCTTCTTAAAGTTGCACGAAAAGAAAAAGATTCCATTGAGCCGATAGATAGCAGTGATTATGTTAGTGATAGTGAAAGTTGTCCTACACAATAACCTCTCTCTTGTCTCCCTCACACCTGCCACGAAGGTTTTCAAATATGAGTGCCGATTAATTTATTTTTCTTTATATTTTGCATTTCCTTTATTATTTTGTATTATATTACAGTATTTATATTACAGTATTCATATAATATTTATATGAATATTTTTGGGTTGTAGAATGAATCACTAAGTTTCCATTATTTCTTATGGGGAAATTCACTTTGATATACAAGTGCTTTGGATTACAAGCATGTTTCTGGACTGAATTATGCTCACAGACCAAAGTTTTACTGTATTTTATTATAGATTATGTGGGTAAGTGACATCCTCGGACTGGGGAAAATTCAGCTTTTTAAAAATGTTTTATTTATTTCTGAGAGAGAGAGAGAGACAGCGTGAGCAGGGGAGGGTCAAAGAGGAAGGGAGACACAGAATCTGAAACAGGCTCCAGGCTCTGAGCTAGCTGTCAGCACAGAGCCCGACACAAGGTTTGAACCCACAAACCGTGAGATCATGACTTGAACCAAAGTCAGACACTTAACCAACTGAGCCACCCAGGCACCCTGTACTGGGGGAAATTCAAGAGATCTTGAAATATGTGGATAAAAGAGGTCACTGACTTCTTTATTCATAGGAGAATAATGACCCATTTGTAGACTGTGATAGCCCTGGTCTGTGTGGACTCCATCCCCCATGCCCCACCCACCCACATCCTCCCCCATAATGCTGGGATTAGGAGCATGAACACACATTTCAGAGCCTCTTTTGCTGGCTGAATTCCTTTTTGACCTGTCAATGAGAGGCACTTGCAAGGGAGCAGAAGTCAAAAAAGTATAGAAGATTTTTGTTTTTCCTGCTTCTGGTAGGAGAGGCAGAGGATGTGAGGCAGGACCCTAGACTGCAGATTAATTTTTGTGACTGTTTTTTAAGCTCTGTGCTCAGTGGGTCCATCACCAGCAGCAACAAAGTTTCCAATCATCAGTAGAATGTTGGCTCCTGGGATTCTTGCAGATTTCCTTCTTAGTGCTTTGCAGGCCCTAAAGTCAGTAACAGTTTCCTGAAGTTACTGATCTCTAAGAAACATCACGTTTTCATTACATTAACCTTTTCAATAATTTTGTAACCATTTTACTGTTTTAAAAGGCTGGGGGCGCCTGGGTGGCTCAGTCTGTCAGTGGTTGAGCGCTGGACTCTTGGTTTCAGCTCAGGTCATGATCTCATGGTTTGTGAGTTTGAGCCACACATCGGGCCCCATGCTGATAGTGCAGAGCCAGCTTTGGATTCTCTTTTTCTCTCTCTGATCCTTCCCCTGCCTATTCTCTCTGTCTCTCTCTCAAAAATAAAGTTAAAATAAAAATAAAAAATTAATAAAATGCCCTTGGCTTGAAATACATTGGCTAGTGCAGGGCAGGGAGGAGCAGATGTTGGCTTTGAGTAGGATGGTAGCGTGAAGAAGAGAATCATGCAGGTTCTGGCCATGGTTTACAGCAGAGCCAACACAGCCAGCTGATAGATTAGTTGTATGGAGTAAGGGAAATGAAAGGATCTAAGACGATTCCCACTTTTTGGTTAGCGAGCCCAGTGTATTTACTGAGGTAAGAAAGCATTGAAGAGGAACTGTTTGGGTAAAAACTGTAACTGTGTTGACACTATGTCAGTGAGCATTTAGGATAGCAGAGGCTTTAAAGAACGCCCCTGCCTTTTTAAAATTAGTATAGTTGAGGAAGAAGAGAGAAAAGAGACTGTGCTTATAAAATCATGCCATTTAGAAAGGCAAGTTAGGTTAGTAGTTATAAGCATGGGCTCCAGGATCAGACTATCTATTGGGAGTTTATGTGACATTGAGGATTTTATTTTTAATCCAGAAAGCCAGTAAGAAGTTCATAACAAACACATAGATCCACCATCCAAACTGACGAGCAGTAAGAAAAATAATTTAATCTACCACTTTGCTATTTTATTGTATTACTTAAGTTTTTTTGTGTGTAAAAAAAAGAAACAAAGCTGTACTCTATACCCCTCTACTTAATAATCGTTTCCCACCTACTACCATGAATTAAATTAGGTATTTAATTTTTTAGTCTGTATTTTCATACTTTGAATACATACGTACATACCCATGAATAACATAGAATTTTGTATACTTTAATTTTACTTTGTGGGTAGAAGAATATATTATTCGGCAGACTGTGTTTTTTGAATTTTTATCTATATGTGTGTGTGTGTGTATATGTGTGCACGCGTGCATGTGTGTATGTGCCTGATGTGAGTGGTAAACCCCAATAAATACTAACTGTTGTGTAGCAAAGATATTGGAGAAAAAAAACACTCTTCCTTAGTCCTAAGGAGCCTTAACAAAAGCCCACTGAGACAGGCATGTATCTTGAACACACAGTACCGTTAGGCTAGCTCTGCTCTGTCAATACCCTTGCAATGACCTACACTATCTATGGATACTTCTGTATCTAGTCTTGTCATCACTTAAACTGAAGTGTTACATCCTGTGCAGTCCTAGAAGCTGCTAACTGTGCTAATATCATTATTATATTGTGTTAATCATCATTATACCTCTAGCACTTAATACAGTGCTTGGCCTAGAATAGGCTCTTTATAAACATTTGCTGAGTGAATAAATGAGTGAAATCTGCTATGTTATGTGAATACAGAACACTTTTTGTGTGAAAAATAACTGACAGCATTCTTTTGAGCTAATTTGAGGAAACAAAACTCTTTAGCACAGGAGCTGATAGAAATACCGATACTTGATGTTAAAACTTGTCACAACCTGCAAGCCTAAATGGCCCAGTATGAGAACTGCATGTTTGAAAAAGAATGGAAGGCAAAAACGAACATGATGAAAACTTATAGAATGCTCTCTGAGCAAAGTTTTTTCCTCTTTGGCTGTGATATGCATTATACGAAGGGTAATCCATTAATAATAATGCTAATCAATAGCATCCATTTTGCATATTTAAAATACTATATATCTTGCCATAATAAAACACAATAGATCAATGGTTTTCTCACCTGTATTTAATATTTTTTAAGTGGGTATTTTAAACATTACCATTTCACTGCACATTCTCATTGCATTTCTGAATCACAACGTATTTCTTGAAAGATACTTTTACTTCATAGTACTATGTTTCCAATGATATACAAATATTTAAGTGACCAAAATATAAAACATTCCCTCATATTCTTAATGGATGTGGTATTCCAACCAATTTTTTTTGTCACTCCAGACCACAATATACGTTTCTAAGTAAGCTACATATCGAGTCATGAGAGTAATCCATTAAAAAGTTGTCAAATAAATTGAGATCACACTTGGGCTAAATATAAAAAGCACTAAATTCCTTGTGAGCATCTACACATTATAGAAAATAGACATTCAATTCCATACAGTACTTCAAAAAACACAGATATGTGTCTTTAAGTCAATGTCATTAAAAATCAATCATAGGAAAGACTATGACAATGAATCTTTTTTTCTATGAAGAAAACGATTTCCAAATCACAGATGACAGTCAAATTATTTTGAACAATATTTAACACTATAATAGTTTAGTGCAATTTAGTAATGGGGATACCTCTCGACAGATATTTGTTTTTAATCAAAGCAAATTTAATTGGAAAGGTAGTCCTCCAAATTTATCCTAAGTTAATTTATAAATCTTCCCCTGCCTATCATCATTCTTAATGGCCGTATTTTTTTACTGTTATACAGTTGAGAAAAATTATTTATTATAACATTTTATATATCTAAATATTGCTACACTGAAGACATGATTAAAAATGAATGGTATATATTAACATTTTAAATACATAGTATGAAATTAGTATCAAAATGATGTGCTGATTTTTCTAGAGGTCTATAAAAACAAACTAGTCCTTCAGAGTGTCCTAGAAATCTATTTTCTTTTTTGAATACAATATATTCATATTCTCCAAGTAGCAAGTTAAAATGTATGGGATATATTTGCCATTAAACCTTTCTGTGTGAAATGTAAACACTGAATCACCTAATAGAGCCCTATCTGAGCTTCTAAATGGAATTATTTATAACATCTTTGGAATATAATTATATGAGCTACACTTAACCACCTGGGCATTTTGCTTCCTGCAGACAATTTGCAATGGTATAGTAAAGAATTTTGTTTGCTTGTTTGTGTGTTTGTTTTGTTTTAAACAGATATGATAAAACTGTCTTTGTAGAGTAACCACATTTTGTTCTGACTCTCAGAGTAAGGTAGTCCATATGCAGCAGCTTGACATAAAGATAAACAAATAATAATTATTAATATAAATAAAACATTACTGCATATATAATGAAAGCCTGATTTGACAATGGCTAAGAATTTCAAAAGACAAAACACACTCCAAGTAGTTGTCATCTGTGTAGTAACATATTGAATGAAGATTCTTTAAGGAAAGAATTATAGACTTACTGAACAGACCAGAGAATTAAATAATTACACATTTTGATTGAAAAATATATGTAGCTCATTAAAACAGAGACTCTAACTCCACTTCTCTTCTCTAGCTAAGCTTCTATTCAGATGCCAAGTTTGTACTTTAATTAGAACAAAAGACCGACATTAACTTCAATGCAACATAATAATTCATAATAATGATCGTATATTAATCTCTTGAGCTTGCTGGAATCTAGCACATGACATATGGCATAGTACAGGCACCTGTGCAGTCCTCTGGGGACTGAGGTGGTGCATATTAATTAGCCCCTGGGAAATAAAATCTGTTTCCTTCTGAGAAAAGCTACCTCCGTGCTTATTGGCTTACAACATCAAAGGAAGTAGACAGAACACTGTTAGGCTCTGTCTATCCTCATTAAAGCTCTGTCTAGATGTGGGCACTGAATCAGCTGGTCCTGAGTTAATTCTCGACAGAATCCTGCTTAAGAAATTAGAGTAGTCATGCATTTCTTTGGCTTCCATGATTGGATTTTGGCCAAAAACCTCAAAATTACTATTCTGGTCACAGAAAATTATTTAACTATATAGTCCAAACATAAAATAATGAGAAACATACTAAACTTGAAGCAACCCCTTTTTCTTAAATGCTTTCTGAGAGTGCCTCAATGTAATCCTTTGCTTTGTAAATCTAGACACAATCTGAATATGAGATTATAAATGTCTTTAAGAAATATGTCGTCTCATAATAAGCAAGGTCTCAAGATTCTTGGCAGTCCCGCATATGCTAAAGGCACTTCAGTGTATATCTTCAAAGGATAATTGAAAGGTATTATGGAAATAAAACTCTGGCTGATTAAGAGATAAATATATATTGAGACAAATAGATCCTAAAATTACCTTCTCCGGGGAAAAAAATCTAATCCCATTGCTAGAGTATATCTAGAAAGAGAAAACAGAAAATTGAGCGGATATGGTGATAACCAGAAGAAGCTACATTTGAAGATTTCTTTTGCAACTGTCCTTTCAAATTCTTGTCACTTGTAATTCTGAATTGCATAAAACAAACTCACTTAACTGAAAAGTATTTGTACTTGATGAGGTGCTCAGAATTCTGTGAAGGTTTTAACAATCTTTCAGAATAGCAGATTCTGAGGTTTTTAAACATACACAAGAAATACAGATTCACTAGCAGCTAGACAGACTATTTCCTTCCTCAAATATCACATTGTTTAGTTCTCCTTTGGGTTACATCCATGCTCTTGTGATGGAACAGTTACGCTGCTGATATATTTATTGGAATACGTGGGTCCATTTTCCTCTCGTTCAACTCATGGGTTGGCAGTTTGAAATCATTCTTTTCTGCTAGGGGAATATATGGCCAAGGCATATTTAAATAGTCTATTAAGCCAATGAGATGACAATGTGCTACCCTCAGAGAAAGCTTAATTTTTGGAGTAATTAATTACACATTCCACAGTATGTCTCTTGAGAACACTGTTGGCTAGGTCTACCAATTTATTGTGCAAATAATTATAGTTTTTCATTTGAGGCAAAGTTGTGGATTCATTATTAGGCAGATGGTAACAAATCGTTTATTTTCCTTTTGTGCACCTATTTTTTCAGTGGGGGAAACCTACTGTATGCCCTATATATTTATTTTTAAAAGTTGACTGGTTTTTCTGAGTCTTTACGGATGATATAAAACTGTGGTTGTAAATCCCAGCACCCACTCTTTTTTTTTTTCAGTGATATTATACAGGCATTTTGAGGAGGAAATTGTGAAATATGTGGCTTCTTATCATTTTTACTATGTTACACCCAGTTTCCATGATATTTTATAATGGTACCCTCATTTTTAATGCTCTTACAGACACCTTCTAATTGATCTATATGTGCCCACCATTGATAGGGTGGGCAAACATTATAAGGAAGTGTGTCATTTGTTTCTTCAAACTCTTTAATTAAGCCAGTAAAGTGGCAGGCTACACAGTCTGCTCAGTTGTACAGAAATACATTAAAAGTCTCAGCTACATCATTTTCTATAAACCAAAAGATTCTTGTGATCTTTTCTGCAGAACTCAGCCTGAAGAACACAGGACTCCATTTCAGAGGGCCCGTAGGAGACACCTCAGCCGTTTTTTTCAGATGTAGAATTTTGGACAAGTCGCTCAACTAAATTTCTTCATTTTTAAAATGGGTTATTGTAGCGGTTCAATTAGAAGAAACACAGATGTTAAAAAGTCTATAATACTGCCTGACATGTAGTAGGCACAGACTTCAGCTGTGTCGGCATCCTTTTTTGAGAGATACAATGGTTTCTCTCTGTCTCCCTTTGTTCTTAATGATGCCATTAATAGCAAAGCTTTAGGTCCCTTCTGTTATTGTGACTCCTTATTTTATTTAGATATATTACCAAGTAACATTTTCTTAGGACCCGGGACTGATGTAGATTAGAAATTCTTAAACTTCAGTGTACATAAGTATTACCTGGGCGATCTTGCTCAAGATGAATATTCCTAAGCCTCACTTCCCCAAATCCACATTTTGAGAAACACTGATTTAGACTGCTGATTTAGTAAAGAGCTGAAATGTCCTCTCATAAAGGCATTTTACTTTCTGACTTCTGGTGTCATGTAGAGACTCTCACCACTTCCCCCAAGTACCCAGTCCTAGTGTCCCTTTCCTGGATTCCCTTGGACAGTTTTGTTCATCATGTATAGTCAGAGAATGACTAGTTCTTAATTAAAAGCAGTGATTCCAACCCATATAGCATCTGGTAGAATGGCTAGTAACATAGAACATACTGGAAAAGATCTTTTATAACCCTAGTATCTCAGGGAACGAGCTGGATATACCACATGAGAAAGCAGAGCAGCTTAAATTCCAGTGCTTTTTTATAGTGTAGTGTTTTTGCTACTAACTAAATATGTGACTATATCCACATTGCTGAATCACTTTGGCTTCACTTACTCATCTGATGGGAGTGATGATGCCTTCCCTGGCTGAACGGAACTTCCTAGGGCTTAGACCAGAAGGTCTCTTAGGCTCTCTTTTGCTCCCAGACTCTCTCCTTTTCCACAAAGGACAGTAGCTCATGTGAACCCTTCCTGAACCTAAATTTCAGTGGCGAACATCTGCCACATTTTCTTGGGAGAATAACCATTTGTGACTCATTATGCCCTGGTGGAAATCTATGTATGAAGGCACCCAGATATCTCAGCAACAATTTAAACCTATTATCAATTCACAAAAACACTTGGTATTAACTTGCAGAGGATTTTATTTACTTGGATTTGTTAGGGGAAAAAATGAAAATGATATAATAAATTTAGAGGAACACCATAGCAGTGATGTTATAATTCAGAGGTTTGTTGCAATCAAAGACCTGAAGCAGCATCTATAGAATTAGTGGACATCTGTTTTAATTATAATTACTTTCTTCACATTATCTCTTAAATAGACTAATGAAAACACATTAGTACATAGTTTATTATTTTTTTCAAATAGCAAATACCACATAATTTAGAAAGGAGAATACTAATATTGAGACCTTTATCTATGCAATGTGGTTTACCTAGGTACACAATCAATCTCTAAGCTAAAATGTACAAACATGTATTTTGTGCTCTCAACAGTTTTACAGACTCAGGGAGGGAGTTTACTCAGGATTTAGTTTTAAATGATAAACTATGAAACTAACAATTGTTTTTGTTCGTTTTAAACTCAGCTCCAACTCCAGAATGTTGTTTGTTTTAAAGTAACTTCACCTCCAAATGAAGAACTGGAATGAACACACTGAAGGTTGGTTAAATGTTGAAAGTCCTTTGGTATAAAGCACTCTCTTATTTGACCCCATACATGTCTGTCAGTGTTTTTTCACCTCTGTTCTGTTGCTGATTTCTGTGGAGCAAGAGAGGGCTCTGAGGCTGAGGCTCATGGGAGGCTGGTCCTGAGCCTTTGGCTGTAGATACTCTTCAACATGGACAATATTTTCAAGCAAGTACATCGATTTTGTTAAAAAACATTGTAAGGTAGTTTCATTTGTCATTTAAAAATATGCACACATAGGCAATTCATATGAAAATGGATTTCTGCTTGAATTATCTAGCTAATTACATCAATTCTCCTCTTTGCTTTGAGCTTATACACATTACTTATGATAGGAACAGCTGACCCCTATAAATCAATTAATCAATACTGATTAATTCTTTTCCCTCAACTGTAGTTTTCCTTTAAACAAAGGGTAGGTTTATGCTTATCCACAAACACTGGAGACTTAGACATACAAGCATTGTCTGGAATGTTGTTTCGTGGTGTATCTAAATGGGACGTGTGTTTGAGTGTTGTGCTAGGTAGAGACAGTTCACATAAAATATGCTGAAAATATGTTTCCTAAGAGGCATTGCTTTATTCAATACCGGAAGAACATTTCTAAAGATAAGCTCACACTTTAAACTGTCACCCAATAGAAAGAATTTTAGGCTTCTGGGCAATAGTGGATGCTAGGGCCATTCCATGACAATGTCAATATGAAAAGCTTCATTTTCCTCATGAGAGAAGATCGAAGTGTGGGAAAGACACCCTCTTGTAGTAACACTGTATTTTCTGCATAAAATTAGAAGCATGAATATTTTCTACATTTGCGTCTTAGTCACGATAAAGGATAAAGAAGGAAAAATATCAAAAGTTTCTTTACAGAATTCAGAAGTTTTTCATTGATCAAACAACTATTTCTTTCATTGTAAGTCCTTTGTGTCAGTGGCAGAAATAGCAATTTGATGTTTTTTTAAGATAGTTTGGGTTTTCAAAGAGAAACTTTGCTACTCTCCTGTGAAAATTACATGGTATTCTGTTAAAACTGCCTTACAGGAAGGAGTTTCAGAAGAGATACAGGAAGGAAGAGCAATGCAAAATGCTTTCATTTCAGAGTAGCTAGGTTTCAGTGCTTCCTACAGAACCGAGAGAGGGAGAAATAAGAAATATTTTCTCCCTCATAAGACATATGTCACTCCTGTAATTTTTACAAAATCAACTGAGGCAAATTAGGGGTTTCAAAGCTAGTCATCTTCTAAGTTGTTAGGCAAAAATTTGCATTTAAATTGCTCTGTGCAGCTACTACGAGATTTTCCCTGGAATGTTTATGGCTCTTTTTTTCATTAATACTTAAAAAATACAATTTCATAACCAGTGTATTACTACATCTAGTTGTATTACGAACAGGCACTTCATTTCATAAAATAGAAACATTCAAAGTGGTTTTGGTTGACCAATCATTCAGTCGGAATACTTGAATTCTTTATATTGAATACTTATTAGTGAAGTTAATCTGAAACCATATCAAGTCTCCATTTCTATTACAGAAACTAGGTCATTAATAGCTGTAACATAGGGAATAACTTCTGTTCCTATATGTTTTATCCCTAGAAGTGAAGATTGTCCAGAACTTCTTGGAACCTTGCCCCCCAAATATTTTATATATATAAAAATACAGCAGATTTCTTTTTAATAGATAAATCTTAAGTATTATTTCAATAACTTGATTTTACATATTCAGAGATGTAGAAATAAGAAAATATTAAATGTGCAAAATGCTCTTTTATATGTACATTTAAAAATACAATGTAATAATAGCTTTGGACTTGTTTAAAAAGTCATTCGGGGGGAGTCTTCAATGTCAGAAAATCTGGTTAGATTAGAGCTTTTGCTTGAGGAATTGTAAACAAACTTTTTAAAATGCTGAGAGTTTTCTCAGTTCTTTCCAACTACGCCACTCTCGAACACATCAAGTCCTGCTTTGAAGTAAACCTGAGCTGAATTAATGCTGTTCAACACCTCTGACAGGGCTTCCTGAATGGTCTCATTTGATGCAAGTGACTTGCAGTGCTCCCAAGCTGCCAGGAGAATTGAAAACTGGCTTGTCTTCTCATCGAGGTGGTACAGGATATTTCTAAAAAGAAATACAGGATGTGTCAATGCTTTATGCACAATGCTATTTTCATATCAAACATCATAATAAAAGTTGCCAAGAAACAGCAATATTTGCAGTAAGTGAAGAAATTATAAAAATATAATATTGTCATTTTTCAACCTCTAATGAATTAATGGATATAGATGTTGATCATCAAGTTTCCCATAGTGATGAGAGATAATTAGACATTATATAGCCCCCTCATGGAAGCATACAGTACTATCTATGAAACAGAATAAAGTAGTTTTGCTTTAAAAAAGTAAATCTGAATCTGATGAAGCTTCTAAATCTAATTGGTAATAAATACAAGAGACAGAGAAATACATTAAATGACATGACAATGTGTCGTTAGCAAATATAAATGGTGGAGAACTCTGTAGGACAAATGATCCAGTTTTTTCAATAAGTAAACTGCAATACAAAATAGGTGAAGGAAAAACCTATGGACTAAGGTTTCTCATCCCTGCGCCACTGACATCTGGGGCTGGATCATTCTTTATTGTGCAGCTGTCCTGTGCATGGCAGGATGTTTAGCAGTATGCCCGGTCTCTGCCCACTAGATACCAGCAGCCCTGTCTTTCACTTGCTTCAATCAGTTCGGGCTGCTGCAATGGATTACCATATACTGAGTGGCTTGAATAACAAAAGTTTATGTATCTATCATGATTTTGGGGCTGGAAGTCTGAGACCAAGATGCCAGCATGGTTGAGTTCTTGGCTGGGGTCCTCTTCGTGTTTATATTCTCACCTGGCCTTCCTTAGTGCCTGCACACACAGAGACACCCCGTGTCTTCTCCTCTTTTTATAAGGGCACTTGCCCCATCAGGAAGGCCCCACCTGCATGAATTAATCTAACGTAATTAGATTCCAAAAGCCCCACCTACAAACACCATCACACTGGGGTTAAGGTTTTAACTTCTATATTTGGGGAGGATATAAACATTTAGTCCATGGCAGCTGTGAAAACTGAAAATGTCTCTGGGCTGCCACAATTGTCCCTTACAGGGCAAACTGTCCCTGGATTGAGAATATTGCTTTAGACCAAAAGAAACCTATCAACCATTCATAAAGTATAGACTCCCCCAGGTTTTTACCCAAACTGTTTAAAAAATAAGAAGCGGTGCAAAATTGAATACTAATTGAAAATTTGTTAACATTAAGGGATTGTTAATATTTTAGGTGTGATGATGATATCATCAGTGTGTTTTCAAAAAGTGTCCTAATTTTCTAGAAATAGATATAGTAGTACTTACAAATGAAAGGTTATCATGTCTAGGATTTTGCTTAGAAATATTTGGGAGAGAAAAGGATTCTAGAGCCACAGACAGTATAGAGGGGATAAGATTAACCATTAGTTATTATTGTTGAAATTGGATAACGGGATGTGTTATACTATTCTTTCTTCTTTTGTGTATATTTGATATTTAGAATACTATCTTCTCATAAGTATGGGGTGTATAATACAATGTTGCTCTGAAACATATCCAAATTTCTTAGAAGAATTTGGCCTAGGCAAATCTGAAGTGGTCCCTTTTATCATTGACAGATAGAAAGAGATGCATTTTGGCAGAAAACTGTGGATTATTAGATCATTTGACTTATTTCCAGCCCAAAGTAGCTGAAATTCCATTGTCAAATAAGAGAGGCAGATACAAATAATTAAAATATAGTTGCCTAATTGTTAGACTAGAAACAAAAGGTGTAGTGCTAAAAGGCGAAGGATTACCATGGAGAAAGTTCAGAAAAAAGTTCATAATAGAGAATATTTGAATTTCATCTTGAATCAACAGTTACAAAGGTTTAGGAAAGGAAACAAGGTGGAAAGCAGAGACAGCACCCTATGCAGGAAGGATGGCATACACAAAGGTACACATTTGAAAGATAGCTTGGTATGCTCAGTGGATCAATGCCAGTGTTTCTGTATGACCAGTGTTCAAGACCAGAGTTGGCAGCTTTAGGAGAGAAGCTGGGACAGCAAGCCCTGGCCACCCTAGAGGCCCTTCCATACCAGGCCAAGGAAATCACACTTTTTTTTTTTTTTAATGTTTATTTATTTTTGAGAGAGAGAGACAGAGTGTGAGTGTGGAGGAGCAGAGAGAGTGAGAGGGAGACACAGAATCTGAAGCAGGCTCCAGGCTCTGAGCTGTCAGCACATAGCCTGACTTGGGGCTCGAACCCACGAACCGTGAGATCATGACCTGAGCCGAAATCGGACCCTTAACCGACTGAGCCATCCAGGCGCCCCAGGAAATCACACCTTTTCTTGCAGGCACAAGAAACCAGTGAAAGAAAAATCTGATTTTGAAATGATCATATTGTAATATAAAGTCTGGAGAAGCACTTAGTCCACACAAAAGGGGATACTACTGTGAGTGACACAGTCAGAGTTAATTTTGAGAAGATAAAGAGAGGGCTACAGTACATATTTGATTAATTTCTACTTTCCTAGCACTAACCTTCATTTATATAGAGTTCTGGATTATTGGTTCCTATCTCATCGAGGTTCTTCTTCCTCAGTGTCTCCTGAACTCCCCACCTGCACTCTGGACGACCTGATCTACCTGATCGTTCACGCTAGGACCCTGCAAGTCATCTGTTGTCCTTGTGTATCCAAATGGTCTCTGATAATACAAACCTCCCCATCTTTTCAGTATCTTTTCTTCTCTGCTATGGGACTCTGTACCTTATACTTTCCAGGATATGCTATGATAGCCTTGCTTTACACACCAGAGTTGAGAAATATGTCGCTGTTGTTGTTGTTTTAATCAGGTCTAATTTACTGTTGTGAACACAGGAGATCTTCAGTCATGGTGATTTAATATACTTAAATTTTTATCAGGTTTAGTGCAGTGATGGGAACTTAGTAGACACTCAACAAAATTGGTATCAGTTACAGCAATCTAGTTTAATTTGCATTTTAAGCATTAACTATTTAAGAATAAAACTGGCTTAAATTTCTGTCCTTGTAGAAAATTTTAAGTTGACAATAACTACATCCTGGGTGGCAGTGGAGCAGAAGATCCTTAAGCTTAAGAGTCTATTTATTTCAATGAATTTTTCAAAACAGATCATTCAAAAGGAGAACTATCCCTAGTAATCCAATACAAAATCCTTGATTTTTGTGCCTCTGAGTAAACTTGACATTGTATGAATTAAATAGAGCAGTGCGAGAAAGGTACTTCTAGGTTCCAAATACTCTTGAATCAGGTATAAAATTTGTATTAAGAAACATACATTCCCTGAATCTGGGAAGAAAAACAAATACCTTCCAGATGGAGTGGCCTGTAGGTCCTGGGCAATTCTCTGGCCACAAGCTGTACTCTGGGGAAAATTTGGATCTATTTCCAGAATTAGAACGCTCTTTAAAATAGAGGTTCCCCTTCTGCCATTCCCATAGCATTCATAAAATTAAAGAGATTGCCAGAAGAAACCATTCAACTATGCTAATATAATCAGGCAAGCAATTCTACATGTACATACATACAGAATCCATACAAACCTGCTTTGACTCATAAAAGTTTTCATTATATTAAAATGACTTAAAAACAGTCAGAATTAGGGAAATATCTAATGACAATTTCCCTAAATATTAGTTTTATTAGTTTTACATCATTAAAGGGAGGGAAATAAAAGAAACTTTGGTGCAACCATGGAATTTCCAAATGGAGATAAAACAGCTTCAGGTAGCCACATGTATTCTCCTACATGATACAACCTATTACAAAAATTACTTTTTGCATTTTTAGATACTCTTTCTCAAATGCTATTTTTTTGTTTAAATTTTATTTACTTATTTTGAGAGAGAGAGAAACAGAGAGAGTGAGAGAGAGAGCGCGCAGGCACTTGAGCGTGAGTGGGGGAGGAGCAGAGAGGGAGAGAAAAAAAAAAATCCTAAGCAGGCTCTGAGCTCAGAGAGGAGCCCAACATGGGACTCGAACTCACAAGCTCACAAACTCTACTGCTTTACCAATAAGAATTACTAAAGTAGAATACTACAAATATTTAATCATCTATCACAATATTTACAATTTTAAATTCTCTCCTCCCACTTTATCAATTTTCTGTTTAATTATAAATCATTTCATGGCAAATGTGTTTTCAGAATTTAAGAGTGTAGTAGATATTTTCAAAAGCTATACCAAATACTTCCATTCTTGGAAGGCATATTGCTAAGCATGCTGACAAACAAAAATATAATCTTTGTTATCCAGAACTGCCTCATAAATTAGCTGAATGACTGCAATTAATATATTATGGGGAGCGTTTAATACTTTTGGTACTGTATAATGACCTTTCCACATTTTCAAAACTCACTGGCACCAAATGCATTCCTACATATACGCTCTATGGTTATTAAATGTTAAATACTATTAATATTAAATTTAATGATAAGATATTAATAAAACATGCTCATAAAGGTTACAGGATTAATCCCTCAATGACAATCCATTTAAGCATGAGCACAGTCGCTAATATATATATGTACAACCTCAGCTGTAACTACTTAAAATATCTAGAAGAGTGATAATGTAGAAGAATAAAAACATATCCTTAAAAGAATGTTTAGGTCTAACGCAGAAGAAATATAATTACTGTTTTCTTTTTTAAACTGGAAAGCAATACATACACTTCTTAAACACCAGTGCAATGGAGTCTGTAGCATGCCAACAGTTGCTTTTCCTAAGTAGTAAGCAACACAGTAACAGACTTTTATAATGACTGTAAACAAGCCATGTGAATAGAAATGGACCCTTTTTGGTTTGTGAAATTCCACAAGGAGCTAAACACATTTTCCATATGCTACATGATTCAAGTAGTAAGCTATTATGTAAGATAAACACTCATATCCTTTTCTACCCAAATTGGATACAAATCAACATAAAACTACAGACACTGAGATTCTACTTGAAGATAAGTAAACAGGATATTTTCATCATAATTTAAAACTTTCATTTTGGGAAGCTACTTATATAACTGAAG